CAATTTTCCTGCACTGTTTAGAACACTGAGGTCTTTAATGGTGGCCAGTAGGCAGTTGTCAAATGGGATGGAGTCTTGATAAGTGTCCAAGTTAACTGGCAAGAGTCTCTCAGGCGTGCTTTTGAAGACTGTCGTGGAGTGCGGTTCAACAGGTGCCCAGCTTAAGGCATTGAGAGATGCTCCGCTTCCTGTGAAAATGCTTAATTTTGCATTGAAACCCATTGAATGGACACTGAAACACTTTTTAAAGAAAATGAGATTATGGTGCCATGTTACGCAATTTCAGCCGGAAAACTCGAAAATCAAGTAAAAAATTTGCATAAACCAATGTAAATCACTTTATTTTGCTGAAAACAAGCAACAGGTGCCGTGGCTTCCATGCATGTCTCGCCGCTGCTGTGATTGGTAGAAGCTCCATGATGTCATTGTCAGAATGATGAGGACAACTAATGCGCTCGCCGGCAGGCGATGCCGGGTTTATCTGTTGAAATTGGGTAGTTGCTGTAAGGTGGCGAACTCCGGAAGCACGACAGAGTTCGCTGTACATCTATACATGTTCGAGCCAGTTGCCACTTTTAAAAGCGCGACTGAAGCGGCACAGAAAAGTGAGTCCCAATCAGCCACCTTCACCCACGTCGAAAACATAGACTGGTACATATAAGATACATGCCAGTGCTTAATTTCACTGTAGTAAACAGATACAAATGATACACTTGTCAGTGGATATCAAATTCGATAAGAAACAGCAGCAATGACACTCGCTTTTAGAAGCGTATTGGCATGGTCTGCGCTAGGTGGGGTCAGCGTGCAGATACATCAGCTGTTCGTGGATTTCACAGCTCAGAGTGCAGCGTTGTTAATGCATTTAGTATCGTACTTCGCAGCGGGCAAGGTGCACGCGATGAGTCAGTATACATGCTATCAGGAGAACAAAAAAAAAAAAAAAAAGAGCCAGACAGGCCTGCTCTTGCCGCAGAGGTGATATGTGCTCTGAACTGCACTGAAAATTGCACAAGAATAGTTTGGCTCATGTATTGCAGTTCTCTCTTTTTAAATTCTGCCCAGTACTACAGTGATGATGTGTTAAAATGCAAACGGTATATTAGCTGCGCTAGAAGCACGCAACTGTCGTGTAGAATAGCTGATTTCGATTATGCATACTGATATCTTTGTACTTGTGTTTTCGACATGGATGCTCATGCACGCTCTGCGTGCAAATCGGGAAAGAGGAGCAGTGCTGCTGCTGCCTGGAAATTTGGCAGATTCGCGACTGCCACAGCGCGCTTCATCTTGTAAGTTTGAAATATTTTCTTTGAACTGCAGCGGCCTACTTCGCAGCCATCTTCTGACCTCAAAGGAACTTGGGTGAAAAGCGACCTCCTTACGACCGCAATTGCTGCAGCAGTCATATGCCGCCCAGTAACTCGGCATCACGAGTCTACTTCAACCATGCACTAACACAACTAGTGAATGTCGGATGGCGCAAATCCCTAATCAGAAGAAAAGAAGGGTGCAACGGGAAGAAATTCCTTAAAACTGGCAGAACTGATGCTTCTCCAGGCAGCAGATCGCATGCAGAAACAAGGCACAGCCGCAAAGTAAACAAGCTGAGCTGACTGAGCGATGCAGGCGGCTTGGCACGAAGTTGCCCACCAGGCGGCGGCTGGACCCTGACGGTGACGTCACCTTCCCAAGTGTCTATCCCGTGCTCCGCCCCTGTGCCCTCGCGCGTCGTTGGCAGGGGACCATTTTCTTGTCAAAGTTTGCTGGCTTACAGCGCCGTTGTAGAATCTAACCTTGCGAAAAAAACCTTGGTAGACATGTAAGAGTTCACAGATACCGAATTAAAAACCTCTTGAGTGTTCCTTTAAGGCATAGTATTCAGCACCACACACAAGGAGATGTCTGTCGAGAGGTGAAACATTCAAGCCAATGACACGTGACTACAGTGCACTTCAAATTCTAGGAATTCCAATTAAAGTCAAAATTTCTCCACAGCCCATAGAACGACAAAGCATTCCCACTCCTGGACTGTGTAATTAAGCTCAGAATCTACAAAGCCTCTGTTGGTGAATGAAACTGGCTTCAAAATTTTATCTTGATGTTGCAGCAGTACTACTACAAGGGCAACACTGCTGGCACCTGTTTCAACTACAAATGGTGCATTGAGGCCTGGCAAGCTGTTGCCAGAAGCACTTGAAGAGTCACAAATGACCGTTTCTAATGCTCGTCCACTGCCACTTCTGTTGCCGCTTTAGGAAGTTGGGCAATGGCTTGGCAGTGAGAAAAAATTGTGGTAGAAAGTTTGTGTAATATCTATCTACAATTTGCTTGATTTTGTCAGCTTTGGGCATGGTGTCGTTGACATGTCTACAAAGGTTGACGAGGTTTTCAATATAGCTTGTGAAGCTTCCTCCGGTCTGCTGTGAGTGGACATGCAAGAGCTGTTCTGCGAGCTGCTTGCGGACAGCCGGTTGACCAAACACTTCTGAGGAGGATGTCTTGAAGACTGTCTGCGTGGGGATGTGTTGGTGGTTGCTGTATCACAATTCGGCGATGCCAGTGAGACAAACTATGACGTATAGCTCAGCTTGTCGTGGTCATCCCGCTTATCATGCACGCTCACCAGTTCGTAGTGGTCAATTCAGTCCTTCAAGTCAGTCTCATCTGCACCACTGAAGACCTTTGGGTCCCGTGGTCCAAGAAAGCTCGGTGCAGGAAATGGATTCGGGCAAAGGTGCCGGTGGGTTAGCATTGTCAGTCAAGATGGGCGGAAGCATCGAGTTTTGCAGCTCCAGGGTGCAACAATGGGAATGAACAGCACCCTCCCCCAATCGGTTGTTCAAGAACGCTATAGTTGTCAGTGGCGAGACAGCTTGAAAAACCAATAAACCTCTTCACAAGCCATTCCTCTGCCACAGCATAAACTGCCAAAGTCGTCTGCAAATTGTGTCAGCTCCATCCTGGGCAAGCCCCAACTCCTCTGGTTTGCTAGGCCTCACTTGCCCTTCTAGCACCTTCAACATGACACGCTCGGCAAGCGTGCACACCCACACACACAAACGGGTAAAATGTAAAGAGTCGCTGCTCCACTCAGGAAGCGCCACACCTCATTATCAATGGATATCCTCCCAAACTAATGTAATGCTGTACAACCTGTCGTCACAACTTCCATATGCACAGCGGTCAATGAATTATGAGAGGTTTGCTGTCACCGCACTGGTGACAAAATGCTCTAGCATTGGCTTTGAAACTGTGTTGACGCTGACGTAAAACAACACACTAGCTAAACCATTTTGCGTGCCTCTGATATGACGGAAAGGCATCAACCACTGCAGCTAAACTAGCAGGACGCTGAGTCACTGCAATGTGGAACTTCGGTTCCTGCCAGGGGCAAGTTGTCTTTCCATCCACTTTACTTTCTTTACGGTTAGTAATTACTACAAAGCAATTATACAGCACAGCTAACATCTATCCCCTATACCTTTCTTAGCTTCCTTATTACCTGATGGCTTTCATTAAGGTTGTATCAGATTCCCTTTGGTTTATTTGAAGGAATGTGACACATTAGTGGGAATATGTGAACGCTTTCCAACAGTGTCATACTGGGAGAAAAATACTCTGCCCTTGAAGCACAAAAGGCACGCCAAAGCACAGCGGCATTGTTAGGAATGGCTTTTCAACCACACAGTGATCAACTGCCCTGCATCACTGCTTCCGCACCTTGCGCCATACAAATCCAATGGCCAGCACAAGCACTGATGAAAGGCTGATCGTCGAGTCTGTGTCATCCACCAAAAACATTTCATGACTGCCCAGATTGACCGAGACCGAGTTCACCGAGTTCACACAGACCATAGCATTGTATATAGACCAAGCACTTATGCTTATGTCTGCTTTGCTTTTTTTTTTCCGTCATGCTAATCATAATGCTCCAATACATTACACGTTAGAGTGGGAGCTACTGTAACACTGCGGTCATCTGCAGATGTGTCTCTCGCTGAATACAATGAAGTCACAAGCACAAGTGATAGAATTTTCTGTGTATTAAGGCTGAGCTAACATGCACATCAATTGTTCTTGCCTAACTCGCTGGGCTTTCCAATAAATGTAGTCAGGGCCACCTCACTGTCGACCCTGACAGAACGTTAAGATCAGGTAATGAGTGGCAGCTCTTCTCTGTTTCTCGAATATGCTGTGGGTGCTTTGCCAGAATGCTACTTGCACTTATACAAGGGCCGCTTAGCAATGTCGAAATCTCCGCATAGTCGCCTTTTGTGATGCAAACCCTCTTTAATTATCGAAGACTGTGGCACGGGTGCACCTGTACCCATAATGAAATTAGAAAAAATAGCTGGTTGCCAAGGGCACTGATATACACATTATAGAACACGGTAGATGGATGGTTAAAACTATGGCAGATATCATGTTTGATGAGCCCTGCTGTGAGAATTGTAACTATGTGTTCGATGATATAAGTAACAGCATTTTATTAAAAAACGAAACAGCCAAACACAATGTCCTCAGGCACAGACACACGAAAGTATATCACAACACATATTTTCACCTCAAGAACGTGAACCAAGGGTTGCAACAATAAGACCTAGCGCCTTCGGTTGGTGTCCCTTCTTGCTTTTCTCGCTCTCTCACTCGCACATCCACACACACTCACATACACACGGATATTGAGTCTGATGAAGGGAAACCGTAGGGTGCGACTAAAAAAACTAGGTTCTCTATAGGCTCTCCTTGTTTACGTGAACACTAACACAAAGAACTACTCTGACACATATTCAGTCAACAAATCAGGTGCAAATAAGTATACAATCTGAAAGTTTATCATCATCGAACAAAATGGTGAAACATAAAAGTAAGAACCATTTTATGTTGACTTCTAGCTAGCACGCAGTGAAATTACACGTGATGGTGTCACAAACAATGCGTTGCCACACAACCCCCCTATCAATCATTGGCGACTCGCAAGTGGAAGGCGAACTTACGTTGCATGTGAATAAGTTGCCTTGAAATCTTGTAATTTGGAGGGTAGAGCTCGTCGAAGAGTTCATCTTCAATGGTGTACACTTCGGGCGTGGGAATGACCAGCTCTCCTGTATGACCAAATGCCTGCTGCGCTGAGATCGCACGCTGTAGATGATGCTCCTGCATGACAGAACAAAGCAAAACTCAGCTCGCGTGCATCATTTACAGCAAAGGAAAGATGGGTCAGGCAAAAGCTAAAATTCAAGCCAAAGTGCAAATTCCCTCTGGCTCCCATTTGTATCTGTCTACCAGGAATTTTCGCACATGGCCAATCCTGATTTTTTCCTCACAACAAAAAACACCGACACCAACATTTCTTTGGAACGACCTAGCTTATTTTCGTTTCTCTTTCTAGCTTCTATACTAGCTTCAACACCAGATGTTGATTGAGGTAGGATGCTGGCACACCTCAATAACTCAAATTCACAGTGGCAGCACGAAGAAAGAGCCGCTGCCCAATAACGAGAACTTTTCATGCAACAGAGGTAGGATGCTGGCACACCTCAATAACTCAAATTCACAGTGGCAGCACGAAGAAAGAGCCGCTGCCCAATAACGAGAACTTTTCATGCAACACTCTGGCATCTGCTCAGGTCCATAGATCAAACCTACACTCTCCCATTGAGATCCAAAACACCATCTCTTCAAGCTTTGGTTAGACCAAGTCCCCAAACAAGCCAATCACACCTGCGGATTTCATGACAGAGGTGGCACTAGTAAAAAGCGCGTCACAATAGGCCTCGTGCACTCAGTTGGTGGCGCCACCGCTCTCCTGAGTGTGCAGCAACAGTGCAGCCACTCTGCCCATTTTGTCCTTGTTTCTTTCGCGGCGCACAGCTTGAACTTGTCTTGATGTGCAACAATGACAACATAATACGAGCTCTACCTACTGCAATGCAGTTTAAGACTAATTGGAAACTTTCATAAATGATTCAAACGAAGTAGTTCACTTCGTGATGGCGACTTACACGTTGCTTGTTGTGTTTATTGCGTGAGAGAACTCCACAGTGCCGTCAGTTGTTCGAAAATCTTTGGATTTCCAATCGAATGACGGCACTGAGCAAACGAAGAGCGTGGAGTACGATGTTGGTTTGTGAATCAACTTTTAAAGCAGATAGTCTTTCTTGGAGACCTTCGACACAAAAATTTTAGTCTGTCTGTACATTTGTCTTTTGTCCATTCTTAACGGCATCGGGTACTTGAAACGGTTGACCCCATCCGCAGCGCCCACCACTGTTGCTCAAGATTGAGCGTTCATGCTTGTGCAATTGTCAATTAAAAAGCAATTATTGCGCATGTCCGGGGCACCATAAGAACACGTATATATTCTGCATGTGCATCTTTTACTAGAAAAGGCATACATAAGTAATTTTAAGGACCGTAACGCTTATCACGCTGCACTGACCATGCAACACTTGCACGAAACGAGGAGTGTTTTCCAACGCTTTGCTAAGACGAGACGGTGGTGGCACCTACCTGTCGCTTTGCATTCTACACCTTATCACCTCTGAGATGGGCGCGCACACCAGTCTCAGAGCCACGTGCTTTGTTTTTTAAGAAAACTGCCAGATGGCGCTCATGTCTCTTGTGTGACGTGACTTGATGCGCTCATTCGCCTCCGCTGCACGCTCGAGGCACTCTAACGCAGCTCCTCCAGAATACCACTCACCGTTTTTTTTTTGCGCAGAACATCAAATAAATGTCTTGTTCACTCTCTCCACACGCAAGACTATCGTCTTTCGGCAACATTTGCAGAAACATGGGAATACAAGGCCAATTTTTTTTTATAAGCAGAGGATAGAAAATACTTGACAAAGCGTGTCTCTTTTGCTACGACCAGCGTGCATTAGCAAAAAGCTGGGATAGTTGAAATGACATATTAGCAGCAATAATGAGACATACACCCCATGGAGTACCGGTCTCTCAAGTTTCCTAACACTGTTAGCGCATGAGTCAATGCACCTGCAAGACTGAATGTCATTGCTGGTGCACGTACAACGTGGGGCTGGCCATATATGTCGACAACCACCAACACACACCCTGTACTGACCTACTATCGATTGCTTGGCAAAAGCCATCGACCAACACTAGACATACGAAAGTGTTTACACTTTGCGGAATCATATTCTTCAGTGTGCAACTGTGTTTTTCAACTAGTTCGTACCACCATAATAAAGCTGATTGAGAGACCACTTAGTTGAACACAGCTAAAACAAGCTAAAACACACATAAGCACAGCTGACAAAGTGGGTACTGCAGATGACTGTTTTGAGTCTCACTGTTTGCCACAAATCTACATTCGGGCTAAAAATACTAGACAACAGGACAATGGGTCGACAGGACAATAGGCCAAATCCCTGGGACACTACGCATTCCGTAATTGAGACCCAAAAGCTGCCTTAGTTGCAGCCGGCCAAGTGGTCATAAAAACTCATTCCATTTTCTTACAACATTCTTAAAAACAAGTATGGATGCCAAACAGTAACACTGAGACCTGACGGCCATGTGTTGTGTCACCCAATCTGCGTGACGTGCTTCCCATTCAGCTCTTATCTCTTCCTTCTTGTTATGGATGAAGGGGTGGCTTTGGAGGCTCTACTATTTAACTGTGCAACCACAGAGTCGCCTATTTTTGCCTGCATAGGGTCTACCGTGTCCCCTTTGAAAAAGTTTAATGGCATCCATCTGTGCTAAGTGGCCAGAGAGCAGCACAGAAAATCGCTCTGTGCCTCCCAGTACTCGCACCCTTTTGGGAGCAAAAGCAAACCACAGTGATTCCCATTACAACCAGCTATAGAAGCTGTGTTTCCGGGCCAGATTACTTTCCAGTCTAAGGAAACTAGTGATTCACAATTTTTTGCAAGTTAATTTTTAGTTTTAGGTGAGGTGAAAGGAAACAACCTACATACCAGATTGACGCTTGTGCACGAGGTCAACGAATTTTAGCCCCAAATGTGTTCTTGCGTGGTGCTCGCCACTTCACGGGCTCAACTCACTTTGCTGATTCTTAGTTTACATCAACAATTGCATGTCATTAACTGTAATGCCTTTACAGCCATAAGCCCCGCCCAAAATGAATGAAAGGACTGTCCTGAATTACTATTGTAGCAATGGCTGTGTTTTAAAAACAATCATTTGAAGCACATGTGCTCAATCGGGTTATTGATCACTGTACAGCAGGCTATTGTGCTCTAGAAGATGTATGACCATCTTCACACAATGGCACAGTCTATGCAATGTCAGCCACACAATGCAACGAATCCAGTTACACCTAATTTGCACAGGGCGCAAGTGGTATGCGAACTCCTGACCATTGCTATATAAAACATTCTTACGTATGCTACAATTTATTTCCCTTTCATTCCTTTTTTTTATCATAACACCGCACTTCCAGCATTTAAATAAACTTTTACAGGCATGTAAAGCCTCTTAAGACATAATGTCTTCCAGTGATCTTCCACGTTATTTTGAATAAGTTTGATTTAAAGAGGCACTAAGGAACCCTAGATCAGTTCAACCTGGTAAACATGTTTTTTGAGCCCATGTTGATATTAATTTAATGGTAAGCATCTGTTTCTTCAAAAGAAACTAAAGTTAAAAGTTTATTTTGTTTAATTGCACACTGGTGTAGCTGTACTAGTACATTAGAGCTAAGTTGCAGATTTTGAAAACATATATGAGCCATGGCAGTGCAGTGCCAATTTCAGAAATTAGTGTTTGGTCTATGGTTCATTCACAATACACCATTAATGATATTGCAATAAAAAATATAATTAACAAGGCCTTAAAGTGCCCGTACACGACCTCCAATATTTTTTCAAGCATTTCAAGTAAACGTGCGCATCGTGTGCAGAGTGCAATCGCAATTATTGATTCTGCACATGGCCCCGCTATGAGCCTATAGCGCACCACAAATTCCAAGAAACAATCCCTCTTCCTTTCTGGGTCTTTCGGGCCTCCGCGTGACGCGCCGAGTCAAATATGCCAAATATGCTGTCGAGCAAGAGCCTACGACTTCCAGTCGGTCTGCAAGCAGCTGTCCGCGCTGCTTGTTGTTCCTCGTGTTGCCCGTGTGCGTGTAACACGTGCGGGGCAGGGGTCTATCGCGTTGGCAATCCTTTGAATGCATGTGTGCAATGCAGATTTCATACCGGCACGATTACGGCAGTGACGGTTCGTCAACAAGCACGTAACTGACGGAGTCGTGGCACCGGAAGTAGATGGTGTTTCAAGCAGCACGTCAGCGATGAAATATGCCACGCGAAATTGGTAGGAGCGCTCAGCAAGAGGACAAAACGGCGTGGGAGAGCGTACCAGCGGAGGGAAGCACAGGAGAGAGCAAAAGGTGTGGTCGTCACGGTTTCGATAATCAAATGCGTCTAACTCCACTATTACTGCACTGTTCCGAAAAATTCTCACAGCTCTGTGTTCGTCATACACTCATGCACAATTTCCCCACAACAACTGAATTTCGACCTCTGAGTAGTTTACGGCAGCCTTTAAAAAGCTGAAAAACTTGTGGAATCTACAGGAGCCAGCGTGAGGACTTCAAGGTATTGTTTTCGCAGGCTGGGCAGATAAGAAAATTTCTTACAAATGATTTTTATAAATTACCCCGACTCTTCCAACCGGCTTCCAACAATTATTGGCAACACCGTGTGTGTGCGTTCCAACACTTGCATCAAAGTTACAGAAACGAGGCACCACTATGTCATCTGCTGTTCCCAAGGCAATGATCGTGCGCGAACATTTCGTTGGTTCAGCGCGCGAATTCCAGTTCGTTCTGGGCATGCTAGTGATAAGTGGCAGGTGGTCTTGCGTTGTGGTTGCACACGATTCCCCGTTGCCCGCACACTCAGGAAACACTCAGAGGTTACGATAACCATCCGCCTTGTTATTATTATATATTTTTTTAGCTAGCACTGCCAGCTCACTTCACGAAAATGTGTTAATACCGTACCGGCAGAAGAGGGTCTATGTCTGGACATTAGGATTGTGTACTAAGTGAGTACATCACCATATGGAAACATTTCTTATAACGTATGCAGGGCGCACCGTGACCAGACATAGCGCGTCATGCGAAAGAGCGTGCCGTACTCGGCTTAAATTAATTTACCTCA